GTGCCCATTTCTTAACCAGGTTAACACCAAGTTTAGAACTTAAATGTGTACCCCATAGACATATATCTTCCCAGAGATAATTGGGGTGACCCTTGTACCACTCTGGTTTCCACAGTTAGCTTTCTAGAAGAGAAAAAGAAGATGAGAGCTGGTCTACGGTAGGGATAAAGAGCAATGAGAAAGCCACAGGTGTGAACATAGGAAGGATGAAGAGTGTGAGAATGTAAGAATCCAAACCAGTTCCTGGCCTTGCTAAGATCTCTACTTGCCCTATCAAACAATGGGCAGAGTCTTTCTCTATTCTCAAAGGATTAAGGTACAGAGTCAATGCAAAGTAAATGAGTGCCTGAAGAAGTCATTTCTTTTAAGTAAAGTCTATACAGAAGATGACTAATCAAGAATTCGTGAACTGACACTTCATTGTGGTTGGGGACAGAAGTGACCTGAGCTTTGGAACCATGAGACCCCACCTAGGAGGGGATGACAAAAAGGTCTAGCTGGCAGTTGAAGACACAAGACTTGGGTTGGACATTTTTATGAAAAACTTCTCCCTGGCACCTCCAAGGCCAGTGGGAGGTGGGGGTGGGGATGGAGGTGACTATCACCAGTACCCTTTTCCCCAGCTACTGCCTCCAAGGAAACTGTTCCTTCACACAGGTCATGTACACACATACACTCCAACATGAGGCTTTCGTGGTTTTCCTTATTTATCACAGACACCCTTTTCTCCAGCAAACAAAGACCATTTGTCTTGCTCTCCCGGACCACAGAGACCACTGGGAAGCCAAGAGGGGTGGTAGCACTCGGGGGAGGGGATATGCCTGTCAGTGACACAAGCCATACAGTAGCTGGGAAGTCAGGTCAGGGCCCAGGAAAGTGCGGAGGGGGGCAGGGAGGGGGGGCCAGAGAAGGCAGAACCGGTTAGGCACCAAGCAGTCACCAGTTCTGGAGTGAAAACACTGTCCCTGGCTCCCACCCTAGTTTGGGCTCAGGGAACCTGGCCTGGCGGAAGACCCCGGGGGCCTTCCCTCTTCAGGGGGCAGAACTGAAGGAGTGGGCATCGAGTACCCTCCCCCTGGCTGGAACAGAGGCCACATTCAGTAGGGGGAGGGGGAAGCCAGAGTGCCCCCCAGAGAAAAGGGAGGATCCCACACGCCGAACCGCGGCGGAACAAAAGGCAGGCAGCTTCGGGGGCTGGGCGGGGAGGCGGGGCTCCGGGGAGCTACAGCCAGCCCTCTGCTGGCTAGGCAGAGAAGTACACGGCACTCAAACCTGCTCCACTAAGACAGACGGACAAGGCTTCGGGAAAAGAACTTTCCCCACCCCTAAGGGAATGTAAACTGGGGAAGGAGAGGGGTCCCTTAGACTGTTATGGGCCTCTAGCTCCCACACAGCCAGCACCCATCACACAGAGCCCACAGGTGGGTATGGCTGGGTAGGTGTCTGAACATCCATCCTCCCTGCGAACAGAAAAAGGGCACTTCTCTAGACACCTGGGACCCTTAAACACTGGTTCTTTCAGGTCTGTGCTTAGGGCTCCCCCTCTCCAAATACAATTTTACTGAAGGAGCAGAAGAAAATGGCAACAAGTTCTCTAGCAAGGGACTGACAAGGGGGTAGAGTCTTCAAGAAACTGAAGTGTTAATCTCAGAGTGTCCACCTCCTGCTCTTGATCCCCACATTCCTGTGCTCCTTCCCCTTGCCCACACAGGCCTGAAGAGAAGGAAAAGAGCTTCTCCACCCATCCCCTGGGGAGACAAAGGACCCCATCCAAGAGCCATGGGGACTCACCTTCATGGGATTTCATCTCTCCTCCTTCTGCGGTGGGTGCAGCCTGTGACCACTGAGGACAGAAGAGCAAAGCATGGGCAGGGGGCAGAACCACCTGGCCCTCTTCCCTCCTTGTTTCCCTCCCAGCCATAGCCTCTGGCTTCTCCAAGTCTTCTGAGGAGCACAGGGCAAAGGAAGGGGCTCCTGAAGACACAGAGCATGCCCACCACTGCTGGTCTGCTCTAACTCTGAATTGAAGGATGTTAAAGACTAACAAAGATTTGAGGGTCGGGAGCTCAAAATCCAGGAGAAAAACAGCCCTGCCCCTTCCTCACAGTTTCCGCTCTTCACACTCACAGTCTCGTTAATGCACTAAGAAAACCAAAGTGCCTCAGTCTCCCAGATTGCCTGATCCAGAGCCGCTAGTACAGGTATTAGGGTCAAACAGGAGACCAAGTTTGGACTGGGACAGGAAGGACTGGGGGTGAGAAAAACAACATGGTGACCTTTTCCTGCTGACATGACAAATACCAGGGTGAGTTGCTACTGGGGGGGGGGGGGGGGTTCAGAGGAACGAAGGGCATCAGCCACCCTCCTCCACCCAGATTCTTCCAGGTCTCAGAGATACTGCATACCCACGGGTTGTCTATAGGGTAAAACCCTGGAAAGAAACCCGGGGTGTGTGGGAGGAGGGGTTGCGGCTGTAAGGGTGAACTCCATCCTCTCCCACTACACAAATTTCTCCAAAGTTTGACTATTTCCTCCCACCTGATTCCCTGGTTTCTTCTTCCTTCCAGAGTTAGGGGGTCCTAACCCCCTCTCTCTCACCTTCCTCAAATGCAACCTGGGAAGCCTTTAATGCCTTTCCTCTGCCCAGCCCCTAGGGGGCCCCCTGCCCTACCTAAGCCTGAGGCCTCTCCCACCCCCTCCCCACCGGATAGTTCCTTCCCTCCCCAGAAGCTGTGAAGGTCAACAAGCCCAGCCATGTGGAGCTGACAGCGCAAAGCAGGCAAAGGCTTCTCCAGCCCTTTCAGAGGGTCTTCAGTTCACTCTAACGCCCCACCCTACCGGCTTCTCTGGTGGAGCAAATCCCAGAGCTGCACTCTAGCTTCCTAAACTACACACCTCAAAGAGAACGAGTACCATTTGTCTGTCAATCTCCTTCCCACGCACCCTAGCACCCCAACCTTGTCTCCAGAGCCAAGGCCAGAGGAAGTCCCTCTCAATATGACAGTTGCCAAGCTTGCAGCTGGACAGCATCCCACTGCAGCTCCCTCAAGGAGCCCCTTCCCTACAGTCTCACAACACCCCCTCTTTCTCTCCCCTCCTCCCCCCTGCGGCTCCCCCTGCCAACTTCTCCCTATAGTCTGCACTCCTCACGGGGTTCCAAGGAGGAAAGGGACAGAAACTCCACACACCCCTCCAAGGCCAGGGGCACCAAGAGGGGTGGCTCTGAACGGGGAGGGGCCAGGTGCCCTTCTCTGGGGGCCTCTGAAGGTCATACTGTGGCCAGGCAGTCACTCCTCCTCCTCACACACAACCACCCCCCCCCCTTCCAGAAGCCTGGAGCCAAGGCCTTTGTGCCAGGGTCTGAGGAACTTTGGGTGGCAACAGGGACCCTTGCCCGTTTCCTTCCCTCTGTCTCCTCTCTATAGGGACTCTGAGTGAAGGAGGATGCAAGGCAGGAGAGGAAGGGGACCATTTGGGTGGCTTTGAAAAACAAGTAGGCAAGTCTGGAGTTCCCAAAACCACCTGCTCCAACTCCCTGCTCCAATGCCCTACTCCACGAGGGAGAAGTATGTATGTAAGGGTCTGGGGGTGGACGGCAGGTGTCTTTTCCTCCTTGGTTACCACAAGGATTTGGAGGACTGGGTGTCCAAAGCTGTGAAAGGCCAAGAATCACTTTCACAGGTGGTAAAGGTGGGGAGCAGGCGCCCCTTCCGAAGGTTCTGGGAGAACTATCTCCAAGCTGCCGGTGTCAGTGTAAATCGAAATAGTGACACTCTGTAAATCTTCCCTTTGGTCACCCCCCGAAAAGGCTAGGCGCAGCTCCACTAAGAACTGTGGAGGAGGGGAGAGAAACAGACTGTCACCAGCTCACGCCTTTTGGGTAGAGTCTCGACAAAGCACAGCCCCGGGTGGGCTCCGATCCCCGACTTCTTAACAGGGATCGTCCTTTGCCCAAACTTAAGGGCAGGAGAGGGGCCACATAAGGGGCCTGGCAAAGGGGAGTAAAAGAATAAAAGGGTGTCTGGGGTTTCTCTACACTCTTTTATGGGAGAAAAAGGGGACAGGGGGAAGGGGCATGCGGGAATTCCTCCTAACCCAGGAGGGGACAAGGGGTTGGCACTGTGGGAAGGAATAGGAGTGGTTGCCGCGATCCCAGGTCTGGAGCTACCTCGCGAGGTCACCTTCCCGTGTAGGGCCGGCGGGGGGAGGGGCGCCGCTCGCCGCCCCGGGCTCCCAGCTTCGGCCGCCGCGGCTCCGAGAACACGCGGCCGGCCAGGCCCGGGCTGATGTAATCGGCTCCGCGCCGCGCGCGCCCGGCCGGGCGGGGGAGGGCGGGCACCCAGCGGGAGACGGGCGGGGGTGGCGCGGCGCAGGTGGCCCGGCGGGGAGGGGGGTCCCCGCTGCTACCCATCCCAAAACTTTTGCCAAACTCGCGGAGAGGGCCGAAGAGGCCAATCGGCAGTGACAGCGAGCTCCCTTTTTCGCCTGCGCCCTCCCCCCTCCACGCTCTCTGCCCTCGTTAGTCCAAGGTCCGAGCACCCCCTCCCCGCTGGGCTCGGGCTTTCGCCCCCGCTGCCCCGACTTCCAGTTCGTTGGGGACCAGCGGCTGGGAGCAAACTTCAGCCGCCCGCGGCAGCGCAAGCCCAGCCCCCTCGGCCTCCTCCTCGGGCTCCCGCCCTCCACTGGTCGGCCCAGATCGTACGTGCGGTGACTCTGGTGGGTGGGCAGGGCCCGCGTGGGCGGCGAGACTTTATCCCGGTGCCCTCACACCTAGCTCGCGTCCCCCACACGTACGACGACGAGGGGGATGTCGAGCGCCAGATGCCCATGGACCCGCGTGGGGCATGGATTCCCCACGCGCGCGCTCGCACGCACGTTCCCAATCGGGAGAGGCGCTTGCAACAGCCCGCGTCGCCAGGCGGGCACAGTCGCTTACCTTGGCGTGGTGGAGGTAGAGCAGCAAGGCAAGGCTCCAATGCACCCAAGAAAGCAGAAAGTTCATGGTTTCGGAGGCCCGGCCGGGGCCGGCGCGGCTCGCGCTCCCTCTCGGGCTCCGGCTGCGGGGCGGCCCGCTCTCCTCGGCGCCTTGGCGGTCTCCTTTTCCTCCTGGAGCCAAGGCCCTGGCCGGGGCCTGGAGAGCGCGCGCGGCTGGAGCACTGTCTGCGCACACGGCCGCCTCACCCGTCCATGAGCCCGGCTTCCGAGAGCCGAGTCGCAGCGGCCCCCTCTCCTCCTCCTCTTCCTTCTCTTCTTCCTCCTCCCCCTCCTCTTGCTGCGGCTCCTCCCGGCCCGAGCTAGCACTTCTCCCGGCTTCGCTCGGCTCGGCTTCCCCGGAGCGGACCACGACTCCTCCGGAGCGAGAACAGCCCAGAAGTTGGACGAAAAGTTTCAGTGCATCACCGCGAACCCCGACCCCCTCCACCCCGCCTCCGGGCGCGGGCTCCGATTCCAGCCCGCGGCTCGCCGCTGCGTCCACCGTCGGCCACCGGCCGGAGAGGAGGTGGGCGCTGGGGCGGGGGGCGGTGTCTGTCTGTCTGTCCGTCAGCGCTGCTGGTCCGATGCGGGATCCAGAGGGGGAGGGCTCACGCTGCGCTCCGGCGGTCACCCCAAAAAGCAGGTCACTCACTTTGCCCCTGTCCCTCTCGTTGATCGCTGGCTCGTGCGCTCTGACCTCGTCTCTCTCTCTTCCTTGACTTCTCTCTGGCGTTCTTGCTACGTCTTTCCTTTCTGCTGGTTTCCAAAATCCGAAGTGATTTGGGGGAGTAGAAGAGCAACCCCCCAAACCGTCGGCCAGATTTAAGTGAGGAATGGGAAACAAAAATAAATTAAAACGGGAAATAATAGTTTTTTCAAATGTTTAAGGAAAAAGCAAGGGGATAAACCCCAGGTAAACCAGTATCAAATTCCAGTGCAGAGGCCCCAGCCCGGTAACCTCGCGGGTCCGTCCGTCTCGCAGCCGCGTTTCCCGACCAAGTGCCGCTGCTGCCGCTTTGCAGCCCCGCGGCCCCAACCCTCTGCGCTCCTCACCGCTTCCAGCCGACTTTAAAAAAAAAAAAAAAATGCCTGGCTCCTCCTCCCGCCCCGCCCCGGGGCGGAGACAGATCAAGCCTTGCCTCCAGTCCCTCCGGCCCCAGGCGCCTGCTGGTAACGTGCTGCGGTGGCTCACCCTACCCCCGAGGACTCTGAGTGAAGCCAGGACCCCCAACTCACCCCAGTGAAGGGAAAGCGCGATCTCCCACCAAAGTTCACAGTCTGAAAATTACCCACTTACCCCCAAAAACTCTGCCCCGAGACACACATTCCCGCTGGGTATTCGAGAGGAGGAGCAAGAAAGTGAGGTTATGTGCTGACAGGGCCGGAGATCTCGTTCTGTCTTATCTGGGAACAGTAGAGGGACGAATAGGGACTGATGAGAAGAGGGACTAATTGGAATACTGGAGTGACCCCTATCCTTCTTTCTCCTCTAACACCCTCATCGCTTACACACACTCACATTGACACCCACACCCTCCTCCTCACTCTCACGCAGATGCTGCCCTCCCAAGTTCATCTAGCTCGAACGAGCGCTTCCCTGTGGTGACCGAGCGCCCCCTAGTGGCTACTGTCTGAACACCCCCAACGCTGGCTGAGAAGCAAATGGGTCTCCTGTAGGTTGGGGAAGTTTATTTCAGACCAGCCCCCATTTCTGCTCCCAAACAGTCGTATTCCTCGAATGACCCTACGCACAGGACAAGGTATCCATCTGAAACCTTTATCATGCCTACAGACCTTAGACTGAGCTGTGACCGACCTACTGAGATGGCTGGGGTCCTTCCAGAAGTGTCAGAGAAGCTTCCCTGAAAGAAAAATTTGGCGCCAAATTTGTGGAGAGCAGGAAGCCGTGTCTTTCCAGGGTTAGGAGTAGTGGGGAGGGGGCGGGGAAGACAACCTGATGGAGCCCACGTATGCACTGTGGAGTTTGGCAGAGCCCAAAAGGAGAGGCAGCTGGGCAGACAGAGGCCCTTGTTCTTGCTCCCCCACCACCACCACCACCAGATGTTGCCAGGGAACTGAGGCCAGGGCCTGGTGGGGGCAGATGGAGACGAGGGCCTGAGTGATGATTCAAACCTACCCACCAACACTAAGGAACGTCTGTAGGCCAGCTGCCCAAAGCTCCCACCAGGCTGGGGGCCAAGGCTTCTTTCTATCTGCCCCAGCCCAGGCTCACAGCTAACCTTCTGAACAGAACTGAGGGGTTCTCCTTAGCTCCCCTACACACCACTGACAGGATCCCTTGGCTGCTTCCTCCAGCTTGAAACCTCTTCTCTATCTTTCCCATAATCCCTCACTTTTTCCCAAATCCCCCTTCTCCAACTCCCCAGGGTTTTTTCCCAAAGTGCTCCCCAAGGCTCCCCACCCCACCCTTGCATATAAGGACCAGCCTGGGGAAATTTCTGGTTGGGCTTTGGCCCAGTTGCCTCCAAGCTCCCCCCCCCCCCCCCCCCCCCCCCCCCGCCAGTGAACAAAGGGGGGCTCTAATGCCTATGGGAAGAGTGGACCCAACCAAGCTCATTATCCACCTAAGTCTGACCAGGACCTAGCCTGGGTCTGATGTAGCCCCTCTGAAGGGAACTAAATTGAGGATAGGAATACAGCAACTTGCCCTAATTTGACCAAAATAATCCAAGTTTACTCAGCCAGCCCCCTCTCTCTGTATAAGGTTACCCCTTGCACCTCAATTCTATAGGAGTGCTATAGGAGGCCCCCCATGATGAGTGGGACTGTCTCCCACCCACCCCATTCCATTCATCCCATTATATATGCCTTCAGTCCCATCACACTGACTGGCAGGCCCCCAGCAGCTAGGGACAAGGTCTTTTACAACTACTAAATGTGTATTCCTGACTCAAGGGTCCCCTCCCAGGCAGACCTCCTCACCCAGCCAGAGCTCCAGCTTCAATCTGCTAAATGAAGATGGGAGGGAAGCCACCATTAAACTTCCCCCTTGTCCGACTGGGTCTGCTTTTAGCATCTCCAAGCACAAGGAGTGAGCACCTTGGCAGGTATCCCCTCCCTCATCTGGAGCAGGCCTAAACCAAGACAGGGGCTCCAGGCCCCAAGCGGCTTCCTCTGACCCCCTCCCCTGCACCCCTTCTCATCTTCTAGTATCAGCCTTCCTTGGCTCCCAGAGACAGCAGTGGGCTGGAAGAGAAGATCTTAGTGAAGAACCCTAAATTTGGGAGAAGGCTGGAGACATTCTAAGGTGGGAAAAGGGGGAAGGAAAATGCCAGCCATCAACTGTCACTTCATAGCCCTGGGACATTCCTCCACCTGAATCAACCATCTCCCCAGGGTTGCAGTCAGTGAGGCTCATTACAACAACCTATTTGAGGTTCCTCCCTTAGCTAGGTTCCTCCCTGGCCTGGGGAATCAGGGGAGAGAAGGAGCAGAATTCCCAGAATATGGGAGTAGGTCTGCAGCCTGATCTGAGGGACTTGGGAGCATCTTCACTAGTGGGGACAAATCTTCCACCTCCAGTCTTCAGATAGCTTGGGGACACAACCTGGTGGTGACTCAGAGAACCGTTTGACTCCAGATCCCATCCCCCAATGTGACATCACCAAACTTCACAATGACATACTATGGTAGACACATTGTCACCAAACTGAAAGTCCTACTCACCTGGATCTTCAAAAAGGGAGCAAGAAATACACAAAACAAGAAATGCAAGACAATCATAAGACTGTCTCAGTATCACTGTCTCTTGTCAGAAGTTTAATCCCTTCAATAAATTTAATTCCCTTTACCCTTCTTCCTAGGTCACTGCAGAACAGGGAGTATCAGGGAAAACTGTCCCTCCAGAGAACTCCCAAAGGGCCAGAGGAGAGACAGAGATGCCCAGGGTCACCCAGCAGTGTGTGTAGTGAGACGGGTAGAACAGACAGCAACCAAAAACCTAGAGAAATCCTTCAAAGCTCCTCTCAAGAGGCACCCTTGGCCCCAGTCAGAAGACCCACCTCAGAGTGGCTCTGGAGGCAGTTCCGAAGGAGCCAAGGAGGAAGGGGAAGACATTTGGCTGCCTTGAAGGGCAAGGTGTTCCAGGAGAGGGGGAAGGGAGAGAGGGACAGGGTGAGGGGAAAGAAGAGCATGAAAAGCAGCCACGAGCCAACAGTGGCTCCAGACAAAGGAAGTAGTGATCAGGTCCAAGGCACAATAGGTGTACTTTGTCCTGATGTCCTGTCACCTCTGATGTTCAGGGAGGCTCTCATCTGGTTGGATGTGTAGGCAGGTGAACATGAAGCCTGCAGATGAAGAGGCAGAGCCCTTTCTGAAGACAAAATTAGAGCAGAGAGTTGCTGGATCTCCAAGAGGTATCACTATGATAGACAGAAGGTAATAATAAAAACAGCAACCGAGAAAAGACAAGGAAGAATGGCCTCTTCTTCCAATGTCAGTATCATAGTCCCATCTGGAGGTTTGACTTGGGGTAATGATGGGTAAAGAACCAATAGATCTGTTTTGGAAGAAATGCAGCCAGTGCTGCCTAAACTTCCACTCTCATACTTTGGACATGTTGTCAGGAGGGAACAGTCACTGGAGAAGGATGTCATGCTGGGTAAGATGGAGGGTCAGAGAAAAAGAGGAAGACCCCCAATGAGATGAATCAGCCAGGTGGCATCATTGATGGCGTCAAGTGTGGCAGCGGTAGTGAGGTTGACCCAGGACCAGACATTGTTTCGTTCTGCTGTGCATGGGGTTGCTATGAGTCGGTTCTGACTCGATGGCACCTGACAACAACAACAATGATAGGTAATGATGGCCAATTGATAAAGAGGTGTCAGCTAAAGTTCCATGGTTGCATCCTCTCTCCCAACCTGGGACCTGCCTGAGAGATGAGCTTCAATATAATTTGTGAATATTTCTCAAAGCCCACCAAGCACCAGACACAAGGATACCTAAGTAGAACAATGGAAAGTGTCGAGACTTTAGGAGCCAAACAGACTCCTGTCACACTCCTGGCTCCTCAACTGTGTGACGTTAGGCCAGTTACTCAATTCTCTGAGCCTTGGTTACCCTCATCTGTAAAAGAGGAATGAAAAAACCTGCCTTGGAATGTTGCTGCACACAGACAAATCTCCAGGCAACGACACCAGAAGCAAGACGGGAAGGAGGCCCTGGAAAAGGCACAAACTGTCATGAAGGTTCAGAGGCAGAGCAGACAAACTGGCTGCAATGAGTATCAGGAAGGGCTTCTTGTAGGAGGTGGCACAGGATGTTTATATCACAAGCAATTACTAAGCTCAGTGTATGAGGCCAGCTTTAGTCTGGGTCATAGGACAACAACAATGTGGAAGGAGTTTCCTATCTAAAGGGGGAACTGGAAGAGTAAACTGAATAAAACAATTAGCTAGAGATATGAGGAGGAGCCTGGGAAGACTTCCTGGAGGAGGTAGCCCTTGACCTGAGTCTTGAAGTTTAGTCCGTTTAGTGGAGAGGGGCTGGAGAGCAGGGGAAACAGGGTCTGGAAGATTCTGATGGCTCATTTTAGCCCACCCTGTGCTCCTCTCGGTGACACAGATTTCAAGGTTAGGCAGATCAGGGTATTAGGGATTCTTCGAAAACATTCCCAGCCAAAGCCCACAGGGACAATGCTGGTTCCTCAGGGGATGAGCCCCCAACAAGTGTCCCCGCCCTCTGGGACAGCAAGTCTCTGCCAGAGAATTTAGCAAACAATCAGATGTGAGAGATGGATCCATCTCGAACACTGAACACTGCTCTTGTTTGCTGCAAGGACAAGGGGAGAAGGGCAGAGGACATCACCACCTGTCTGAGGCAGGACACAAAGCCGAAAGAGCTCTTCCCCAACATTGCCCCTTCTCTGTCCTTGGTCCCATCACATTTTTCTATCTGCCTGTCAGACACATGAAGATCTGGAAACAGCACGGGACAAAAAAGTCCAGTTTGTTGTAGACTATATGATGTGGGTCAAGTCACTCTCCCTTTCTGGACCTCAAGTTTCCCTTAAGTAAAAGCATGAGGTTAAGGTCCCTGGGTGATGCAAACAGATTACACTCAGCCACTCACCTGAACTCCTGGTGTGGCTCTGTAGGATCAGCACTGGACTTTAAACCACACGGTCAGCAGTTCAAACCCACTAGCTGCTTCTTGGAAACTCTGCTATTGTTAAGTGCCATGGAGTCAGTTCCGACCCATTGTAACCCTGTATAAGGTTTCCAAGCAGCGGGTGGTGAGCTTGAATCACAGACCTTGCAGTTCAAAATGACTTTGCAGTCTAGCTCATTAATCCACAGTGCCACACCAGAACTCCATTAGGAAACCCTATACAGGGCCGCTATGAGTCAAAACTGACTCGGCAACACTTAACAACAACAGCATTAACCTGAAGGGTGGAAGTTTGAAACCATACAGTGGTACCATGGAAGAAAGACCTGGTGGTCTGCTTTCATAAAGATCATGACTAAGAAAACCCTACGAAGCAGTTCTACTCTGTGCATATGGGGTCTCCAGGAGTAGGAATGGACTCAAATTGCGATTTTTGTTTTGTTTTGATTTTTACACTCCATAAAGTCCTATGAGGCTGTAACAGCTCCATCAAACACTCCAACTGA